CTCGAAATGGAAGTAAGCCCAACAATTATGAAACAAGAGATTCCTCGAAACCCAACTTTTCTGGGGATTATGAGTCAGAGGCGTTTTAGAGGTTGAGTATGTGAAAAATGTCGACAGAAGCACATGCCAGTGCATGTTTCTCTGACCTCGTTCTCAGCTCGAGTGTGATTAGCTGGTCACTCTGTGTCGGTTCTGGCGAATGTGATTGAGGCTTTTTCCTAAACGCCCTCTCTCCCTCTTTTACTCTCTCTCTCTCTCTCTATCTATCTATCTTCGGCAGGTGAGAGCGTGGCTTTTCGTACCGTTCGACTGTCTCTCATGCTCTGGGCCGGCGGCGAGAGTCTGCATGGCCTCCTCCTCACGGCGCTGTTCGTCGGCCTCATAATGCTGACCTGCATCGGCTTGGTGGATCTGATCGGCGGCATTTGCCAGCGCACTTGCCTCGGCCCTCCAACCGGCGACAACGGCGACGGCGACGGCGACGCAGGTCTCAACAACGATGACGACGGCGCTGTAGACAAGTCAGGCCTCGACGGCCGACGCCACGTCGTCTGGTCCGCCCATCCGCCTCCGCTCATTCCCTGTCCTCTGGTTGCTAGGTCCGGATTGGACTTGCAGTCTCCATGCGACACCCGCCACTCGGACGACTCGTCTGCTCCGCAGATTTATCGCGCATCTGTGCATGATCATCTTCAGCAGCAGCAGCAGCAGCAACAACAACAGCAGCAGTTGCCATTACCGTTGCCGTTGCCCCAGCAACAGAGTTTGCTTGGTGGCGATTGGCAAGCGTTGCAGCAACCGGTGCTGCTCCAGGCTCCGAGCCCGACGCAGAGCTCGCCACGGTCTGAGACAATCGGCTACCTCTTGAAGTGCCCCCCAGTGCCTGGCGAATGCGCCGGCGCCTCGGGGCCCCTGTACCAGATCGCCACATGGCAACCACAGGCCGGACAACCGAGTCACCTCGTCCTCTTGACTCCGGACAATGCTGCCTCTGGCCGGCCGCAGGTGTCGCCGGTCTTCTTCGCGACCGAGGTCAACGCCAACGTCAACTCCGCCAGTCTCGGCCAACCGACACACACCGTCGCCTGCCTCGAGCCCGTGGTTACCGGCCGCCGCCTTGACAACAGCTTCGCCATTCCCCTGGCCGGAGGAGCGGGTTTGGCCGGCCCCTCGGACGGTGAGGCGACTCTGCGGCAGGCAGAAGCGACTGTTGCCTCCGCCTCGAGACTCGTCTTGCTGCCGGCGTCCCAGTGACTGGCCGAGAGTCGTGGTCGCCAAGACGACCTGCCAGTTTTGTACATAAACACAGTCTGCACCGAGCAGCATCGCCGCTGTCGACGCCGCTTTCTAGACACGATGGGAGGTACCGCCTTGTCTGCGTGTCTCCGCTTGGTGCCGGCGAGAGCCGAGGCTCTGACCGAGGCCTGCACACACACACACTCGCTCTCACAACCCCCCACTCCCTCCTACAGCCCATCCTCAGCATTGGGCCGCGGCTTTTCGGACTTTTCGCGAAGTCTCCCCCGCTGCCTTCCTTCCAAGCAGTTGCTGTCGGTGGAATATACTTTCTCTGTCGTGGAAAACGTGCCAATTCACTGTTGTCCTATTCTTATGGACTTGCGTGAAGCCAGCCAAAAAAGCATATGA